AGGATGATTATGAAGAGAGAAATTGTTTGCACCTTTGTAGATACTAGATTCTTGTCCTGCTAATTATCTTTAAGGTTATACACCTGAGCTGGACTGGATCCTAAACTCTTCTAGTTTCATCACATATCTGGCTACAAATCTCCAAATGAACGTTTCCAATTTCTCTCACCCTTCTGATTTCAAATCAATAAAAACAACAATTGCCCTTAAATCTCCTTGGAAGGGACTATAATAGGTCCTCCTCACTACACAGGTGAACGGCCAAACTTGAGACCCAAGCTTTGGGTACACATTTCACAGCTAAAGAAGGCTCCAACTGACATCCAGTCCTGTACAAGCACTGGAGACCTCTGAATCAAACCGATCAGGAACTGAAGCAAATGATAGCTGAAGGGGACACCTTTCCCAAGATGACCAGACCAGGCCTGTATACCATTTCCCACTGTTACTTCCTACCTTATCCTTTCCCTCTTTTTCTTGGGAAGAAATGCTCTTATCTGTATTGCTCAGTCTATTACAAAAGGGGAAAAGTTATCTAATTGTTAGGTTTGCCACCAGAAACCTTGATCTGTTCACAACAATAGTGAACCTTTAGTCCATACTGTAATGAATTTTTTTTCACTTTTCCCAAGGGCTACTGCTAATTTCACCTGGTGTTCCTTGATGACAGCTACAAAGTAAGATTTTTGAAGCTTCCCATTGTTCCACCCCATTAAGCCTCCATGGTCACCTTAAACAAGAACTTCAAGGAGGCATACATGACTCCAAGTATGCCTCCATAGGGAGAACGTTTCTCCTTTGGGTCAGAGTAAGTGCCAATGAAATGCATGATCAGAGATCTCTCCCAAACATCAGGAGTGCTAGCTGATTCATCAGCCAAAGAAATAGCAACCCAACAATGACCACTTGACTCCTTGACTAAAGTAATTTTGGATAACTGCATGGCCTTTGATTATCAACTTGCTGAGCAAGGAGGCATTTGTACTACAGCAAATAGTACCTGTTGTGCATAGATAAGTGCCTCTAGAAAAACAGAAACTCAGTTACACAAAATCAGGGAACAAGCCCATTGGTTACAACTTCCACCTGATGGCCCTTGCCTGGTCTTTTGACCTATTTAGCTGATTACCTTCAGGTGTGGGCAGCACATTCTACAAACTGAACTTATATTAATTTAAATTATGTTTCACATAATCATTTTTAAGCTTTGTGCCTGTCTCCTGTTAAATCTTTGTAGAAATAACTTACCCAACTTAGCTCAACACTTCAAGATGATCTCAAATGCTTAAGACCTTGGTGAGATATAGAGGTTTTTTGTTTGTTTGTTTTTTGTTTTGTTTTGTGCTGTACGCGGGCCTCTCACTGTTGTGGCCTCTCCCGTTGTGGAGCACAGGCTCCGGACGCGCAGGCTCAGCAGCCATGGCTCACGGGCCCAGCCGCTCCGCGGCATGTGGGATCTTCCCGGACCGGGGCACGAACCCTGTCCTCTGCATCGGGAGGCGGACTCTCAACCACTGCGCCACCAGGGAAGCCCTAGAGTTTTTTGTTTTTTGTTTTTTATTTACTTACTTTTAATTTTCATTTTATTTATTTTTGGCTGCGTTGGGTCTTCCTTGCTGCGCATGGGCTTTCTCTAGTTGCGGCGAGCGGGGGCTACTCTTCATTGTGGTGCACGGGTTTTTCTTTGCGGTGGCTTTTCTTGTTGCGGAGCACGGGCTCTAGGCGCGCAAGCTTCAGTAGTTGTGGATCGCAGTCTCCAGAGCGCAGGCTCAGTAGTTGTGGTACACGGACTTAGTCGATCCGCGGCCTGTGGGATCTTCCTGGACCAGGGCTTGAACCCATGTCCCCTGCATTCGCAGGCGGATTCTTAACCACTGCGCCACCAGGGAAGCCCCTTTTAAGGAAAGGTCTTGATCAAAAGGGGTAAATGTGAACATAAATAAAGGAAACTTCATTTTAAATGGAGTCAGGAAGCCCTAAAGGGGGGGACTCTCAATACAGGTAGCACAGTTGCAGTCAAAACCAGCAGGAAGAAGGAAGATAAGAATGTTACTTTTCTTCTGGTACAAGGGAGGACATTTTCACATAGGAATTTCACCTCCTCCTTTTAAAAGAAGGAAGATCCCTCCCAACTCCAGCAACAACACTCTAACCACCACTTGCAGCCAGAGAGAAACTGCCACAATCTTGAACTCTCTTTCTTCTCCAGAGAACTTCTCTTCAAACGGTCCCCCCCCAATTTCCTCCTAAAATCTAATAAAAGCAAGTCACTCTCCTTTGTTCGCTGGATTTGCCTATGATTCCCCATTGCTTGCTTGTCCCGAATTGTGATTCTCTGCTATTCCTGAATAAACCCACCTTTTTGGTAAAATAACTGGTTGCTTTATTTTTGAGGGTAACAATGTATATAAATATAAAATCACTATGTTGTACACTTGAAAGTAATGTAACATTGTTTGTCAATTACGCTTCAATTTAAAAAAGTTTTACAAAACTCTAAATAGCACAAGGAATCCCTACTTCCTAAATATCCTTCAGAGTCAAACAGTTTCCTCCCTCCCCAAGTTTCTGTCCTTACTCCTTCAATTCAGCTACCAAATTTGAAATGTGTCTTTAAATCTCTCTTTCTAAAAGACCCTGGTTGGTTTAGGTCTAAAAATGGGGCCTACCCTACCCTTTTAACAGCTTAGATGTTCAGTGCTTAGGTGCTTACTCTTTGAATGACTGAAATACTGTTTGGTAGCTTTAGTTTAAATAACAAGTAAACCAAATAGAACTATTTTTTCTAAACCTTGCTCCTCCACATTATCAGGTAAATGCTTTCTGTACTGCCTTTAAAGGAACTGGGAAGAGAAAAACAAAACTCATTCACAAATGGTGACAACGCGAAAATAATCAGCTGAGCTATCTGGACCAGAAGTTTCTCCATTTCATGGTGCTTCATCTTTAAAACTGTGTGGACTTCATCAATCTTAGGATTCGTCCAAATTAAAGCAATCGAGCCCCCATTCCCATGTTGGTTTCTTCCGAACCTGCGCCCCACCCCCCACCCCACCCCCACCCCCACCCCCGCCCCCGCCCCGGCCCTG